GTTCCAGGCTGAGTCATTTTTACCTTCTTCTCTCTGTCAACGCTCTCTGGTTTTACTTAAAACAGACGATCGTCAGATATTGTCCAAGATTAACATTCAGGGTGGATATAGCTTGCTAGCAGCCTCGCACTATTCACTATTGGTGAAATATATGTTTATCAAACAAAGTAATGCTACAACTAATCATGGATCCTTTTAAATATATTTTTATTTTATACAGTATTCTTTTTTTTCTCTGTCTTAGGTGCAATGCTGAATATTGTCCAAGACTCTGCATTGTTAGAGTCCATAGGAGCACAGACGGAAACAGTAAGGCTCCGATCGCTCCTGTTTTTCTGACMAACGATGAGAAATAGAAAAGCATTTGATGTGAACACCAGCGTTGCTGTGATTTCAGGGCAGCATAGACGGGAGCCACGTGACCCTGAGGGGTCACAGTCGCACCAACAGTGGTGTCAGCTACACCAGTGGAAGCACCGCAGAGGCTACCAGTCCAGACTGTGAGCGTCCTGCACAGGCGCTGCTCAGAGATTATGGTGAGATTTACAGCTGATGCTTTGGTCAGATGAGGCTTAACGGTGTGGAGGCAGAGTTAGTCAAAGTGCTTACACCGCATGTAATCTGTTAAACTAACTCATTTGTTCTCTGTAGCTAACGTGGTTAAAGTGGTTTGCAGAGTTAAAAAGCGCTGGGTAAAATGTCTTTGTAGGTGATTTTAGTTATTTGCTGTGATGCTGTTTAACAAACTGTTCGTTGTGTATGAAGGTCTCCGTCTATATGGGGCTAGAATGATGACTTAAAAAATCAAAACCGTAAAATAAACATAAAAAGTTTCAAATTCTGATTTAAATAAACACTTTTTTTATTTTTATTTTCACTACCAGTTGGAGCCGTTGTCCTTGTGAGCCCCATACCAGATTATTTTCCCTCTCCTAATGCATGTTGTCTTTATGGGCACCCTAAGCTCATATCCTGTGTAACATTTCAGGTGTGGTGCTTTAACTCTGCATTGCTTTGTRTGCTTTTTCATATTTGTTTGCGGTGTTTGGTATTTCGGGGTGTTATATGGTCTAGCTCTTACAGATACGGCGTCGGGTCTGCTGGTGCGCAGCATCCACCTCGTCACTCAGAGGCTCAATTCCCAGTGGAGACAGGACATGAGCATTTCACTGGCTGCCCTGGAGCTGCTGGCTGGGCTCGCCAAGGTACAGCAAACACAACATACACAGGCTGTATCTGATAAGTGACAAACCTGACAGAAATTGTACAGATTTTATTTGGTGGCTTAACTAATAATTTAGATATTAGGATGTTTCAAACTCATGTTTTTTTATTTTATTTTTTTAATTGAATTAAATTTTTTTGTATGTTTTAATCAGGTAAAGGTAGGAGTGGATTCTGGAGACCGCAAACGTGCCGTCAGCTCTATATGTGGMTATATTGTGTACCAGTGCAGCCGTCCAGCTCCTCTTCAGTCAAGAGACCTTCACTCCATGATCGTGGCTGCCTTCCAGTTCCTCTGCGTGTGGCTGACGGAGCACCCTGACATGCTCGATGAGAAGGCAGGTTTASAAACAGATATGACGTATGACCTGAAATAAGTGTTGAGTTTAAAGACTTAGAGGCATGTTTCAATTAATAAGCTGTTTTTTTTTGGGTTGGTTCAAGGTTTGTTTGATGGAAGTGTTGGAAATAGTGGAGCTAGGAATCTCCGGCAGTAAATCTCGCCAAGATCAGGAGGTTCGTCATAAAGGAGAGAAGGAGCACAACCCAGCTTCAATGAGGGTGAAGGATGCTGCGGAGGCCACTTTATCCTGGTGAGACGTTTAAACGAACACTTGGACACAAATAACTGACTGATATATGACTGAGAACCYGCAGTGCATTTCTAGCTCTAGACCAGAGGTGCCTAAAGTGGGGCCCAAATTGGCCCGCCAAGCCATTTGATTTGGCTCACCAGCAGTTGTCCTGGTTATTAATCTCCTGTCCTGTGTAGAAACACTGTATTTCCACTTTTCAACCATTGGTCCAACTACAGGTACAAGGAGCTGAAGTCAGATAGTCTTAACTCATGGTGCTCACTTTATCTTTGAATTACGTTAAGATTAAACATAAAATACAAGTAACTACAAGAGATATTTAGATTAGATTTAAGCACACATCTAGATTAACACACCTTATAAGACCACATGTACCGTATTTATTCAACTATAATACGTAAAATGAAATCCATAAAATCATCCACAAAGTTGGGGGTTAGTACTATACTCAGATAGATATTTTTACTTATGTATTTTAACTGAAATATCAGCTTAATTCACAAAATGCCTGAGTCTGGAAATGAGACTGCGTCGTAAAAAGCAGTTGAAACGAGCTTACCTCTGACAGTCCTCCGTGCTTCAGAGCGAGATAATAACAGATCCAGGCAGGCAACATGATGTGAAAAAAAGGGGGGAAAAGTAGTCCTACACCTTAGTAATGATAACAAACTAATGACATTAGCGTGTGACCGAGCCGCTCCTCGAACAACAACAAACACATGTTTGTCTGTAATGGCTGCCGTCTACCGGTGTTCTGAAAAATTTGTATTGTTGTGTCTTGGCCCGGTTCGGTTCTGCTGGGCTTTGTCGGTTGCTGGACCCTCCTCTCGTCTCCCCTCCGTCTGCTCAAGTCTGGTGCTGCTGCTTCGCTGCTTGGTTGATGAAAATCAGAGAGCGTTCTTGCCTGTAAGCTGCTGGAAAATCACAAGGCTTCTTC